ATGTGAAGCGGGGTCATGCGAACACAAAATGTGAAAGTATAGAGTTGCTGTAGTTTTATGCTTTTTACTGTATATATTTAACATGAGGTTCAGTCTGGTGAGATAAGATAAAAATAAATCATATCACAATGATATCATTGATTTTTGTGGTTTTGAACTCTTCTATATAAGTGACAAACATTTGATGAACAGCAAAATCTGAGGTAGATCAAGTATGTGTCCTCGCACAATATGCAAGTGTTACATCTATAAATTCTGAACCTTTAGTATATTTCTAAATTATTGATATTATTGACCAATCCTAAGTCTTAAAGACATGTGCAGGTTTGAACTTGTACTTTGATCTACAGTTTTCAAAAAGAGGTTTCATATGAATTTAGTGGCAGCTACTCCAAAAACTACTTTGGAATATTTCCTGTAACTCAGATGCTTGGTAAAGGATTTTTTTTAAAAGGTAGTTAACAAAGCTACACAGAGATACCTTACTTTTCTTAAGCAATACCATAATCTGTATGTTTGATTTCCCCTGTTCCCTGCAGAGGAGGACCTGGTGAAAAATGGCGGCTGAAGTGGAGGTGGAGCTGGAAGGAGGCAATGAGTACCCAGCACATTACAAAGTCATGATGGACAAACTCAATGAGCAACGACAGCTGGGCCAGTTCACAGACATTACTTTAATCGTGGATGGTAAGTGGCCATACACTGTAATGTGTTTTAAGAAATTCCTCAAGCAGCACTTCCTATTCCCATATTTCTTATCTCTTGTAGGACACCAGTTCAGAGCCCATAAAGCTGTGTTGGCAGCATGCAGTCAGTTTTTCCACACGTTCTTCCAGGATTTTACACAGGAGCCACTGGTGGAGATAGAAGGTATTCTGTTTTCTACTTCAATTCTGAGAAAGGAACTAAAAGGTGACTAAAATGCTTAAATGGAAATAGAACTGATGTTAACAGACCAATCAGTATGAAGGAGTCCAAAAATCTAAAAAGGCAAACCTATAACTGTTTAGATCTCTCTTTCTATTTTATTTTGAAGCATATCAAGTGCTGCATTTACAGTTGAAAAATATTAGTTTGTGCCCCCTAATGGACAAACTATGAAGTTGTGAAACATTTTTAAACTTCCTTATACCTTCCCAGGTATTTCTGCACCGCAACTTCTTGATATGTAGCAACATATTATATCATATATATATATATATATATATATATATTTACTCAACAAGTAGCTTTTACTCAACGATGCTGCTTCGTTGTATTCCAACAGGTGTGAGCAATACAGCCTTCAGCCAGCTGTTGGAGTTCACCTACACAGCCACACTAGCTATAGCTGGAGAAGAGGATGCGTACGATGTGTGGAAGGCAGCAGAATACCTCCAGATGCAGGAAGCCATCAAGGCGCTTGACAATAAGTGAGACTTGCATGTGTTGCACCTGAAGAAGCTTAATTTTGTCACTCAGTTTAATCGATGTTATAATTATTTCTTGACCTCTCAACATGAGCTTATTTTGTCTTGTAGGATAAATGAGAATCCCTCTGTTATGGCAAAGAGCAAAGGTAAAAAGAGAAAGATTGCAGAGACGTCCAATGTGATCACAGAAAGTCTGCCCTCCGTGGAAGGGGAATCGGTAAGTAATGCCTAGATAATATAATCGCTGGACATTCAATTGACTGTAATGTTATTTATTTTCTTGTAGAAAATTTTTCCACCACCAAAAATCAATTATTGGTGTTTCAACTGCCTAATTTAGGAATTGAACACAAGTGACCTTTACATTTAGTTGTCAGGACTGAATGTTCTCAATGTTTTCCAGGTGGAGATTGAGGTGATTGGGGATGGGGGCATTGAGGTGGAGGATTCGGGTTTAGAGGAGGTGGTCGACGCAGCAAAGAACGCCCAGGCTGCATCAGACGACTCTGCTTTGGCTCTTCTTGCTGACATAACTAGCAAATATCAGCAAGAGGAACCTACGCTACAGGTGATCAAGAAGGGAGGCATAGATGAGGTACTGTCACTTTTTCATCACTGGTTGTTCTAATGTTTCTTTGGTTTATTAATTTGGAAGCTGTAGAGTTATAAATATAAAAGATTTAACCCAAAAATGTGTGCTTCTGTGTTCGTGCTTTGCAGGATCTTGTGTATCAGGAGGAAACGGTGACTGCATCCAAGGTGTTGGAGAATGTTGACATCGTAGAGGTCCAGATTTCACAAGTGGACAATGTATTCCGCTGCAATAAGTGTGACCGCTCATTTAAGTTGTACTACCACCTCAAACAGCACCTGAAAACGCACCTGGGCGTATTGGAAAAGCCGCACGTGTGCAACCACTGTGGCCGCCCCTACTCACGGGAGGGCGCCTTGAGGCAGCACATCAGCACGTTTCACTTTGATGCAGAGGAGCTCTCTCGGAACCAGAAACCCCAAAAGAAAGTGCATGTTTGTGAATACTGTAAAAAGCACTTTGACCACTTTGGCCACTTTAAGGAACACTTGCGGAAGCACACCGGTGAGAATGAAGAGCTTGATAAGCTCAGTTTGTTAGTTTGTTGCCTAGTATATAACCAGAATTTGTCATATTTGACCTGTAGGCCTCTTGTTACATGTCCTGAGATACGTGTCTGTCTTTTTGTGTCCATCTTTAGGGGAAAAACCGTATGAGTGTCCAGATTGCCATGAGCGTTTTGCAAGGAACAGCACTCTGAAGTGCCATATGGCAGCCTGTCAGAATGGGGCAGGAGCCAAGAAAGGACGCAAGAAACTCTATGAATGCCAGGTACAGTTTGTCCAGACTCAAAGCCAGCAAGTGCTTTGATAGCAGTGTTGTTTCTACAGTAGAAACTGTTCTGATACTGCACACTCATGTATTTTTTAGATTTAGGCGGCTTACCTTGGGAAATTAAATTTTACAGTTATTGACAAAATATTAACTCAGCATCAAAATGGAAATGCATTTATGAACACTATCTCACAGTGGGAATGTCTCAGTCAAATGTTTAATAATAAATATTTGCATATATTGGGATATAGAACTGTCAATAGATATTGCAAATGTTCAAATTTTTTTTTCACATTGAATTGTTAGAATTAATATTTGTTTGTAGGGGAAATAATAACATTACCACGGCTGTATGCCTCCAAAATACTATGGTGAGCCTGGGCCTCTCTCCTGCATGACGGACAAGTATGAGACTTTGGACTATATGGGAAATTGAGATCTTGCGTTTGCCACAGGTTTTGAATGATTACTTCCAATGAAACCATGTTTTCCCTTGAAACTAATGTGTCTTATCAATTCCTCTCATGGGTTACTCAAAAGGACGAATGCTCCTTTGACTGTCTATGACCATGTCGTATTGTTTTCTCCTCTCCCTCCATCAGGTCTGCAGTAGTGTGTTCAACAGCTGGGACCAGTTCAAAGACCATCTCGTGAGCCACACAGGAGACAAGCCCAACCACTGCACCATGTGTGACATGTGGTTCACTCACCCTAAAGAGCTTAAGGCCCACCTGAAGGACGTCCATTCCATTGAGGACAGCAAGTCAACTGAAGAACTGGTCATAACTGACCCTGCCGCCCTCGCTATAGCGACGCAGAGCATAGAAGGAACTGAAACGGTCCTGCTGGATGACGGAATTCAGGTGGAACACGTCACAGTGGAGCCTGTAGATATTGAGATGGAAGAGACTGCAACGGTGGTGGTGGAGGACGGAGGGGTGACGGAGATGTGTGAGGAGGACATGGAGAGACTGAAGCAGGCTGGGGTGCAGATCCAGGTGGTGCATGTGACTACGACTGAAGTTGATGGTCAGCAAGTGGTGAACTCTCAGGTGGAGGTAGAGATGGAAGGAGAGATGGTGAACGTCGAGGAAGTCGAACAAGCAGTGGTTGTATGAGAATGTTAAAATGACTCTTAAATGACTCGCAGGATACTCAGTCATGACGTTTTAGCTTCCATACAGAACACTGCATGCCGGATCCAGCACTTCACCTTGATCTTCTGTTCCCCGCCATCCTGTTGAATGACTCTGTTCCTGGCAACATCACTCTTTGAACTTTGAGGGATGAACAACTTCCTGCTAACTATGCTGTATTTATGTTAAAGCTGTTTGCCGTCATATCCCATATTGTTGATGACTCCTCAGTGCTTCATCAGTCTATTCTCATGTGTTTATTTTTTTTTTCTTTCTGACTTTATTTTAACTCAGATTTATATTTTGGATCACTTGCCAAGAGACTTTGACAATGAATCAAATGTTCCTGTTGCACCTCATAAAACAGCTGTTGTCTGGTGCTGATGCTCATCAGTGCTAATGCTACAGTTGTGTTTGAACTTATTTTCATATTCACATCACATTTATGGTGTTTTTGTAGGAAAATGTCAGATAGGAATTAAAGTGGTTTCCAGAATGGGCTACAAGTCTTGCATCCATCTTCAGAGAGTTTGATAAACTTAAAAAATAACATAGTGAGGTAAAGATATGTTATGAATGTCTTTATTATACCTTTGGAATTTGTTTGAATTATTTTTTTTTTTTTTCTTCAATTGATAAAATAGAAATAAGCTGAATCGTGATGAACCCACGGACATTTTCATCCAAATCTGCTGTTTCCCTTTGCTTTAAAAAATGTGCGTCTTTCATCTCATTGTTTTGGTTTTACAGCTGTAACTTTACTGGACTCAGCCTCTGTACAACACCTGCACAGCACAAAACAACACCTGCACAGCTACTATTTGGTGGAGCCACAGCCAGTATTTCCTTTAGGAGCTGTTGGAAACCAGCAAAGAGTAAGAGAAAAGCAAATCTTTGACCTAAATACATGAGAGATGACCAGAGACACAATTAAAATCAAACGATTAAAGTTGCACCTTATCTGCCCACAGCTATTTGTAACTATGTTTTCACCTTTAACCATCTCTGATGGTGACAATGTTGTGTAGATATCAGGTTTACACTGACCTATAGTGGCCAAAACTAGTTATTGTGGACTTCAGGGAGAGGCAGAACAATCCTCATGAGCTGTATGTTGAAAATCTCTTTTCTTCCAATCTAATATAATGAAAATGCTGGTCAAGCATTTCATTTAGTAATGTTATTTGTAGATCATCAGCTGGTTAGGAAATCGCATGGATGACATTGTCCCAAAAGTGTTTTACTTCACGATGTAATTTGATGTTCAATTGATGAATGAGATTAATGTGATGTAAATGTGCCATGAATTTAACCCACATAATAATACCCATCTCAGCTTCACCCCTGCCCATTACAAACACATGTTGTCACACTGAAAAGAACTAAATCAAACTGTCGGCTTACTGCTCCATTCAGAATCAGAAGCACTTTATTGATGCAGGGGGTAAATTGTGGTTTGGTGTCACTCCAGCCAAGAATAGAAACAAAAACAGAAATACAAAATAGAGGTAGAAGTACATAATAAGTCTGTTAAAAAGGTATTAACACAAGCATTTACCTCTGAAGCACACACTGGTCCCCTGACCCCACCACGACCCTGTGCCACGTTAATACCCGGGCCACGGTGACACGCACACGGGTTAAGTTACCTGGCTTTGTGCGCGCCTGTGGCCGCAGACTTGAGCTAAACGGATCCTGCGTCTCCATCCGTAATTCCCGCTCCCCATTGGCTCGGTGGACTCTGAGAGGGCGCCGCCGATTGGTCGACGCACCTGCCAGTCACGCGGATTCCCCCTCACAACAGACTTAGGGAGCAGCTGCAGCAGGAGAGCAGCAGCCTCAGTGCGCTGAATGTCACCGGAGATCATGAGCTCCACACCGGGCTGGATGGTGCAGGTCGGCGGGGTCCTGTGGAGGAGGTGATCCAGGTAAGATGTGATGTCCGCTGCTTGTCTCTGTGCTGCTGGGTTTGTGATGAGAAACGCGCTGGCTCCTGTGGGGACTGGCCTGCTGCTGCTGCGAAGTGATGGGAACTGTTGTCTGTCATTCACTTATCACACTTCACCATTTATTTCGCTTAAAATTGCTTTTTGAACCCGATCGCATCAGAGTCACATCCTGGTTTGCGAGTCTGCAGCAGCTCCTGTAATAATCTCTGCAGGTGATGGAGCTCGTTTTATATGGATTCAAATAATGTCATTTCATCTCATTCATCGTTGCCTGTATTTTACAATTAAACTATAGTCTTGTTTTATCAATGCAACACTCCTGAGAGGGATCACCAGTGGATCACCTGGCTGTAACGCACGCACGTGACGCACGCACACGCGCAGTAAACAGATCAGAAGTTGGGGGGATCCACAGTTTGGATGAGACTCTGCTCCGTCAGCCTCTTCTGCCTCCTTGTGCTGAGGCAGACAAAGCTGGAGGACAGCAGGTTATGAGAGGACACAGTCAGGCTGCAGCACCTGTTGCTCTGATGAGGTTGTATCTGCAGCAGCCATCATAACGAGTCTTTCTCCTGCATGTTCAGGAGCTAGAGATGTAATGTATTATTATTTGTTGACACCAATCAGCAAAGATTTAGACAGACTTCGAGTACAAGCATTGTTAGAGAAAAGCTTTTACCCCCTCCAAACCATCCTGTGATTATAATGACTTGGAACTAGAACTGTTTTATAATTCTAATACACATTGACTTGTATATTTGCATTTTGGCAAAGACAGAGCAGAGCAGAGATCTGAATGACTCAGCTGCCAGATTCAAATGTCACAATTTGCTCCTTCACATTTTACTCCACTGATCCACCAGTTGGCTCCATTTTGCGTCTTTAACTATAATATTTATGTTGTTTCCCTCCTGCATCATGTAAACAACTGGTAGCCGCATGATGAATTGAGAATAATAAAATTATGAAATGTTTCATGATAATCTTTTTTTAAAATCTGCCCTTAATTCCTCAGACCTAGATTGAAAGCTGAATGCATTTCTATATTTTAGAAGGAAAAACATTCTCGTCTTTAAGCCTGTTCATTTCTCCCTGAATCAAAATGTTTAATCTTTTGATGGTCAATCAGTCTGTGCACGTGAAGCGCTGAGTGTCATGTGGTTCATTTTTTAACATGCAAACTGATGAGATTTCGATTTCAACCACCAGACGCAGCAGTAACAATGTCTCCTGCATTGTTGTGTTATTGTGCTCTATGCACACAGTGTCATGGTAACTTTGTTGAGGCCTCAGAGACGTCTACATCTCTCTGTCACTGTATGTGTGTCCCCAGGCTTTGAGAATAACACTGTGTAGATAAATAAGTGAAAATGCATAAAAAGATTGAATTAAAACAAAATATTAATGTCCTGCTCATGTGGTTTTGATCATTTGCAGAACCAGATATTGTGTCTCAATCATTTCCAACTCCTTTGGTTTTAGTGCATCTGCAGAGATGTGTGCAGCTCTGGTTGGGACTCTGTGTTTATGTGTCAGGGGGAAGGGATTTAGAGGTCACTCTTGTTTTTTTGGAACTGGAAATGTGAAATATTTGCCCCATAGATTCCAGAGAGGCCTGTCTCTCTGTTCCTAGGGCCCATGGTCCTCATTGTTGCAGCTCTTTCACTGTTCAGCTCTTTATTCTTGTCAGCCGTGTGTCTCAATTAACACACTGGGGAGCTTTGTGTGGGTACAGCTCGCTGTCAGCGTGTGTATTTACACGAGTGCACTTGTGCATGTGTCTGTCTGAGGGAAAATGGTGCAAGTGAATGTGTGTGCACTGGCGCGTGCGTTGTCTTTGTGCCCGGATGTATAATGGCAGTGAAAAAGGGAGAATGGGATGCAAACACCGGCTGGACTGAGGGAATGGACTCATAAGTGAATGGGGAGCAAAGCAAGGTAGTTTTTTTTTAAAGAGACAAAACAGAGATGAGGAACTGTTCTGCAGTTAAACGTTGCAGAGCTCCTGTCTCCTCTTATACCTCGTCTTAAGGCACAGACAGGCCATTGGGAAAGAATGACTAATTCGTGATCCACAGCTGCTGTGGAAGGGCTCTCGTGTTTTCCGTTGTTATAGAGTGTGTGAAGAGGCTGCTGATGGAAGCACGAGTGCACCAGTGCAAACTCTCCTCCCTCTCTTTAGGGACCCTCAGACAAATGATTGACTGTCTGGTGAGTAAGGACCCACACTTGGCAAAGCTGATTGTGTTTGCTGATGAAGGGGAGGCTGTTTTCAGACTCAGAGACTTGTCTGTGATAAACAATTCATATAGAGTGTTTTTAAAATGTGTACATCTGTTGGTAAATCAAACATTTATCAAGCAAGTTAGGTAGACAGGATGTGGCACGGTCTTCAATAAGTCATGAAAATTATTCTGAACATAACCCAGAGTAGGTTTGTTCAATAAATCAATATTAAAAATGAATAGCAATATAACATTATAGATGATTATATATCGATGTATGGCTCATGTATCGTGTGAGCACTGTGATGTTTAACTCTTGATCGATCTACCTCAGATTAGAAAAATGCAGAAATCAGTCTTTAAACTTAACATAAATAATAATGTGACATTCAACGTGATAATAATTGATTTAGACTGATATGAAAACATAAATCTTGATATAAGTTTTGGCTGTATCACTCAGCCCTAATACAAAATACATCCATCACTAAAGAGTATTCATTAAGAAGACCAAGGTGATCATATCCGTCTGTAAGTGTTTCAGCACATTTGGTTTTGATTGGTTCTGATGCTCTGCCATTGAGTGATGTTACTCAGCTTAAAGTTGCAACTGTTTCTACAACATGTCTTATTTGTCTAGATCAAAATCAGAAGCATGAGCCCAGTAGTGAACATTACAGTGTTTCAATATAGATTTGCTTATTCTCATTTGGTATGAGCAATATTTTGTATTTAAACCATGTAGGGTATCTCTAATGGTCTGAGCAGAAGCCAGAAGATATTTTGAAACTAACCCTTAATTTAAACAAAAAAAATTAAAGAATCTACTACAAACTTGTTAATTGTCCTTGACTTATAGTTTGACTAAAATGACCTTTGTTGCTTTATGCATTGATTTCAGCATTAAGCAAGATATATGGTGTAATAGACTTGGATGGTTTCTAATTCCTCCAGTGACACACTGTTGTGCTGTTGTTGATGTGTGTATACATCTTTCAGTCTGCTCACACACACACACACACACACACACACACACACACTTCACTTGCTCTGCTGGCTCGATGCTGTGTCACACAGCACTGCAGTGTGCTCTCTGTCTTGACACTCTGTGCCAGTTAATGCCTAATCCTCTGCCTGAGCAAAGAAGACAAACAAACCTGCTCATTCAGTGCCCATCTCCAAGCAACCACAAAGATCTGTTTCAGTGGATCCAGCAAAGCACAAAGCAATCTGGGTAAAGATACTCGTCTATAGACCGACCCTCTGTGGAGATATACTCTCCACTTGATGCAATAATCAGTCAGTTCAGTTTTTAAAACCTGCTTTGTGCAACACAGCATGTATCCTGTACTCTGTTTAAACAGTTTTTGGAATATGTTTATAAAGTTGAGATCTTTAGTGTTTTGGTTGATGATATTTGTTATTTTATGGTTATTTGTTCCAAGACGTA